AAAGAAATTATTGTCGCCAATGAGGGGATGAATGGTAGTCGTCATTATCTTTATAATCAAGCCACTTTGGAAGACAAGGAAGACCGTTTTTCTTGCCTTCCACCCCAACACCTACTCAATTTAGAAGAAATGATTGACAATTGGGTTTTTCTGCATGATAAATATCTAATGGAAAAACTTATTTTTAAGTATCCCCAGGCCATAGCGAGTAAAGTGGGGGAAGTTAGAATTAAGCAACCGCCTCTCAACTACTCCTCAACCGGAAGCAGCAAAAGCGAAGAAAATGATTTAATTTCTGCTTATACTAGCCAGGCTAACGAAATTTTTGGTAATCGCTGACCTGATTTTGTTAAAGAAAGAATGGAAAAAGAGTGAAAAATTATTAAGGGTCGTTATGTCTTTATTTACTGGTTATCTTACAAGGTGGTGCAAAAAACCCACCAAGATGGTTCTTTGGTTGGTTCAAGAGGTTCGATTGGCTCCTCTTTTATTGCCTATTTATGTGGAATTACTGACTTGAATCCCTTGCCTTTTTATAAATTCTGTTCTAACTGTCGTTATACTGAACTTTATGAAACCCAAAATCGGGTCTATTCTTGTTATGATTACCAAGAAAAAGAAAATTGTCCTAACTGCTCCTCATTATTAACCATGGAGGGTCATAATTTACCTTTCGAAACCTTTTTTGGCTGAGAAGGAGAAAAGACCCCAGACATTGACCTTAATTTTTCTGGTGAGTATCAAAAAGTTGCTCATAATTATGTGCGGCAACTACTAGGAGAAGAATCGGTTTATCGGATTGGCACGATTAATACTTTATCCCAACAAACCGCCGAAATATTTTGAAAGGAACACCTTAAATTACGCAAAAAATTTAATCCTGATTTTAATGAAGAAAGATGATTTAAAGAATGGGTTAATGGAGAAAAGTTGAAAGAATTAGAAAAAAAGTTATTCCAAGCCCGCAAGGAAAAAATCCAACTGGAAGCAGAATTAAAGAAGTTAGAAAGTTAAATAATAAAACTATTATATAGAATAAGACTTCTATATTAGAATAAAATTATAATATAATACCATGACAAGAATAAATAATACCCCGCCCTATGCGGAAGAGAAAATAATTTACCAAGAAAAGGAAATTCTAAATGAACAAAAATTAATTCCCCAAGGTTTTATAGAGTTAACTACTTATGGGAAAAGTCAATCGACGAAAGAACTAGAATTACCAAAAGCCCTTTGCTGACGTTATAATTTTGCTTATGAAGATGGTAAAGAGTGATTAACATTAGACATTCCTCAAGAGTTAATGGAAAAATTGAACCTAAAACCTGGTGAAAAATGTTCTAATTTGGCTTTTATTTCTCCCGAAGTATTAAAAAGAGAAACAGAGTGCGGAGGAGTTAATTTACAAAGTGAGAATGAAATATTTTTTGTCCCCAAAGGGAGCAAACTAATTAGGGAAAAAGAAACCCAAACAAAATTGAGTTGTGAAGAAATTGAAGAGTTGACAAAAAAATTAGAAGAATTAGAAACTAAATTATCAGAAGCCGAAAAACTAAAAAGTATTTGACGGAATAAGTATTTAGAGGAAAAAGGAGATAATAACCTAGAAGTTCAAGACCAAATAACTGAATTAACTACTGAGCGAGATAACATTCAACGAGAATTAACTAACCAGCAAACTGAAATAACTCAATTAAATAATATTTTACAAACTACTCAGCAAGAAAGAGACCGAATTCAGCAAAGTTTAAGAATAAATTTAATAAGTTCTCTATTCAAAAATAAAAGAATTAGAGAATTAAATAATAGTTTAAGATTTTTAAGAGGTTTATTAGCGAACAAAAATCAAGAAGCAACTAATTTAACTATTCAACGAGATAATTTGCAAAATCAAACTAACCAATTAACTAACCAAATAAATGACTTAAATCAGCAACTAAATGTCGTTAATTCTCTAATTACTAATAAGGATAATGAGATAACTGGTCTGAAAAATCAAATAACAAAAATCAAAACAGAACGGGATGCCCGCCCAAGAATTACATTGGCACAATGAAATAATTCTCAACAACAATTAAATAACATTCAGCAAGAATTAAACAAAGAAAAAGGTTGGTGGGACAAGTGGATAAACGACTTCCCCCCTGAATCTAAAGAAGTATTGAATGAAAGGGATTTTAAATCTCACTACGAATATATTGATAAAAATTTAGAAAAATTTCTTTTTGAAAATCGTATAAGAGCGGGCGTTGATAATAAACCGGCAAGTCTGTTAGATCCAATTTCAGAATCAAAAACTTTTTCAGTTAGTTTATTTAAAAGAAAAGAAAGGGTCATTTTTTTTCGACGAGAAAGAACCCCTACTTATCAAATACATGATAGTCGTATACCCAGCACTCATACGATAACTTTTAACGAAGAAAACTCCCAACAACTTTTAAAAGAGGGAAAAGAGTTAATAAAACTAGTTTATGAATACTACAAGAATAAATAATCATGGTAACACTAGAACAAAAAGAAAAAAACAAACAATATGTTCTCGACCATTTCGAAGAATATACTATTGATAGTCATGGCAACTTCGCTAATTTTTCCCCTCACATAGAAGGAAATGAATGATTCTTTTATTTTGGCAAAGATAGTTTTACCCCCGAGGGATATGAGGAATTAAAAACAAAATTGTTTGAAATGATTTTGCGAGAAATAAAAGATTGGGAATTGATTTTTTCTGGCACTGATGATGTAGAATATTTTCGACATAAACTAAGCAAAAAGAGAATAAATGTAAACGCTGTTTTTGGTTTCAAGCAAAGTTATCGAATAATGGGAGAATTAGGCTACCGAAAAAATATTTGGGAAAATTACGAAGAAACAATAAAAGGTTGGGAAGAAAGAGATAGGCAGTGAGAAAAGCGAAGTCAAGAAAACTTAACCAGTAATAGCAATAATCAATCATCCCAACCTGAAACCCAACCAACTAAAAATCCAACTCAAGAGCAAACCCCTCAAAACAATTCTCCTTCAATCAACAATCCTCCAACTTCAAACCAAAAGCCAGAAAACCAAAACAATCCTTCCCCTAACCAAGACCAACTAACCGAACCAACTAATAAAGACAATTCACCTACTCCATCAGATCAATCAAATAATCCCCTCCCCTCCAATACCGATATCCAATCCCACTGCAATTCAGATAAAGATAAATCAATCATCGAAAATAACTCTACTCTAACCACTCCCGCACAAAAAGACCAAGCCCAGGAACTCCTAAAACTAATCATTACCACGGAACCATTAGTTAAAGATCAGAAGTTTAATCAACAAATTTTATCTCAACTAATTAAAGAAAAAGATAACAATACTCTGGCTTATCAACTCTTAAATCAAGAAGGAAGAATAGAGCAAGCAATCAGTCAATTACAAAGTATCCAAAAAAAATTAAAGAATAATGATAAAACAGTGGATAATCATCAACCATCTGCTCTTTCTCTATCTACTAAATTATTAATTGGCGGTGGAGCAATTATATTAATAGTCTTTGTCTTTCTAATATCAAAAGTAAAAAAGAGAAAAAAATAAGTTTATAAGATATTTGTGTGAGTAAAGAATTAGAAACTAAAATTATTGACTATTTAAAAAAATTAGAAAAAAGTGAAATTTCTCCCCCGATAAGTGGCAAAAAAAAAAGCCTCTTGTTGACCGGTAAAAATGAGTATGAAAAATTAGACCGAGAATTAAAAGAATATCAGGAGTTAAGTCAAGAAGTAAGCAAGGAGGAGCAAAGTTTTCTCCTAGTTGAGATTAAAAATTTGGAAGAAAAAAAAGCGGAATTAATTAATAAAATTAAAGAACAAATAATTGAAGAAGAAGGAAACAGTCAGAATATTTTAATGGAAATCCGTC